TGTATGGTTGACAGTAAGGAGAATTACAAATTTGATCTGGGAGTTGAAGGGTTAGGGGTATAAGTGGATAGTTTGGTTTTATCACCTGAGTTGTTAACCCTTAAACTCCCAGAAGTGATCAACATGAAACTTCTCTCCATAATATCCTTACTTTATCCAGCAAACAGGTAATGAGAATATTCAAACTAATCAGGTAGAAGTTGTTATCTTGATCTAACACCAAGTTCTCATAATTAATTTACATGGAAATGTGTAGCAGGTAGAGGGGAGAATTAACAATCAGATCCTTTTAGTTAAAGGGTTAATGTAAATTGGTCACTGTAAAAAGTTTGGAAAACTGACATTTTGAGCAAAGGGCCTAGACACCAGCTTTAGAAACTACGAATTATGTTGTAAACACAGATGTAGAACTTACCTCTTTAGCTATGGTTGCTTTGGGAACAGTCAGTTTCATTTCACGAGGTACCACTGGTTCACAAGAAGTTGGGCGGTCCTTGACTGGGGGACCATTCCTTGAGCCAGCTCGCAGAAATGTGGCAGAGTTGGAACGCTTTAGAGGCGGTGGGGCTGCCTAAACCAGAAATAAAATGAAAAAAACAAATACAAATATGACAGAACTGTCAATAAAAATCAAAACTTCTGGCTGGTCTGCCATCTTTGGTGGGCTACTTTCACCTTGTTTGACCCCAAGTGCTGATCATAAACAATAGAGTTATTAAAATACCATGGAAAAAGTTTTTGCAGCAGCCATTTCCCATTTTTTAGCGGAATTGAATGCTTAATTTTACCAGTAATGGATTTAGGGAAAAGACATGATCCTCACAAGGTGAAGGAAAGTAAGAAAAGAAAATTTCCATTGCAGAAAAGCCTGAAAAAATTCAGGCTATGAATTCTGCCTCCCAGATACTAGTTGGGCACCATTACCAAATAAGTTACAAAGCGACATGTTGGGAGTGGAACAAATATTGGTGAGTTTGTTTGGGCTCAGTTAACATCTATGGCTAGATAATGTTATTCAATGGTAAGATAATTGTTACCAAAACATACTGCAATATCTAACATATAGAGATCTATTCAGTGGATAACTTTATCAACCTTTTGAACAGACCAAGAGGTGGCACCCTTCCATGAATTGCTATATATATATAGCTACCTTGGGAATTTAAAGTTGATTAATACTTTTCATTCTACTTGTTGTACTTTTACTTTCTACTTCATCTGTACTATTGATTTTTTTTTTTATTCCTCACGGCTCTATTTTCCAAGTTAGGTACATGTTGATGCCTCTTAAAAATCTATTGACCCTATAACTTCCATAAGAGACTGACATGTAATTTCTGCTTACAATCAATTACAGTATAATATCACATGAGAGTAAAGAAAATAACAATTGGGGGATTATCAGTTAATCCAATACCAAATTCTCTAAAGTAACATCATAAGAATTGTATGACAGGCAGTAAGGAGAACATTTCTAAAGATGTCTAAAGAGATCTTGGGAATTGAAAGAATTAAAACCTCATGTGGATATGCCTATGGTATCAACAAGCCATTCATTCAAAAAAGGTTCAAACCATAAAACCATGAAGCAATATTCTACACACCTTAATTTCTAGGGCCACCTTGGATTCAACAGAATCAAACTTTCCTGGTTTATAAACAGCCTTCACTGGTTCACTTGGGGTAGACCCTCGCTGTTTTTCACGATTTGCTTTCTGTATTTCTTTAATTCGATGGACATTTTCTTTTGCAAAATTCTTGTTTTGCGCTGAAGCTAAGAACAGAGATGAAAGTATGCATTTATAAAAGATCAAACAATTCAGAGCACCTGTAAATTTTTCAATAACACATCAGAAACATGACATGTGCTAATCTAAAGCTTGTAATTCTGTAGTATTTTTCGATCTATTATCAGCCAAAAATTTGTTAGGGCCTGAATACTAGGACACAATGTCCAAGCACTCACTTTTGCCACAAACGATTGTCAGAAGCACGAAGCACATCAGGAAATAACTAAACTGATTCACAAGCGTTCACTGAATACTGTAATAAACACTACAGGCAAGAGCTGCATTAATCATCAAAGAAAGCAGGAAACTAAGATAGATGACTACTTTTCTGCACACAATAAAGTTTTGCTTGGGCATGAATTTACACTGGTTTATATGTGGAGGTGATACTAAAACGAGTCTATGCTGATCACACCTTTAAACTGGCGTGATTAATGAAATTATTGTAAGCTTAAAATTCACCTGGTCTTGATCCGACGGAGTAAGGTCTTGCCGAAGGATTAAACAACTGCGCTAGGGTTCCCTGGTTTTTTATCGCATTTGAAAGTGCTTCAGGCTTTACTCTAGCCTTTGGTAGCCTTTCAGCGTACACTGGACTGTATCGATCTTCGTTTGTAGGTCTTCTTGTATCAAAACCTGGATCTGTAGGTATCGTCCAAGTCGATAACATAGTTCTCGAAAACTCGACTTCCTTTCTTTCTGTGTCTAATATCAATCATCAGCACGCTGATCACGAAAGATCATCGTTTCATTTCGATGTGTCATTGCTTTGTTTCCGTTTTAAAATCTTTTTACGAGAGATCGCGATGAATTTAACAAGATTTTTGCGGCCCTAAGACAATACAAGATCACTTCCTTCAGCTATTTTCCGTTGGTATGCTAAACAACTCTAAAGCATTCCCAGAATGCTGCGAAACGTTGCCATGTGACCGCTGTTCATAGAGATTACTGTCTCGTACACTTATCCCCAGTGCCCCCTCATTGGTGAACAAGCAGGATGGCCGATGGTGTGTCACTGCTGAATTTAAAGACCTTTTCGTGCCAGTTTTTGTTTCTTTCTTCTCTCTAGATCTAGAACCACACGACTCAGTTCGAAATCTTTTCTTCAAAAAAGGAATATCGAGAGGTGTTTTTGAAGATGTCCCTCAACTGATTAAAAAAGGGATTAAAGTTAGATATTGACTAGAAAAATTAGAGTTCGGTTCCGTCAAATTTTAATGTTTTATTTCAAGCCTCTTCAAGGTGCGAAATGATTTACAGTTTTCCCTAAAGTACACGTGTGTAATGCATAATGCTCCATTCCACCTCCTTATACTCGACATTTCATGCAGCGACACGTGTACGCAGTTTTACTAGAAGCTAGACGGCGCGGCCGGCACAATACGCGCCGACCCAAGAGACAAGATTACCGTCGGCGCCCGCAGACTGAACGCCGCGTGCCACAGTCGGCTGAAACCAGTGCCGCGGCCGAACGCAGCTTTTCGCGCTTTATAGAAGGACGGGAATGTCTGATTACTTATCGCTGATCGTTTCCTAGTAGTAATGGTGAAGTAATTTAATAGGAAAAAATCATAATTGTTAGCTTTTTATCGTACGTGACGGGGTTTGTCATCCTATGTGGACCCAAAATCCAGTCCTCTTATCTGAAATCAAAAGTGCCGTGGGGTAGTTAAAACTGTTATAGCAGGAGCTAGTTCTTCTTTCAGAGCCTCCTTTTATCTTTGCGAACGCTTTGAATCCGCCGTTATGCTTTAGTTCGGTAGAGTGTTCGGATCAATGCCTGTAACCCAACAACAGTCAACTGATATCCAGTCAGGTTTTCTTGTTGGGTTACGGAAGGGGTAAGTGCGCGGTTGCTCCGATTGATCACATGCAGCATTCGGGGTACAACAGTCGCCATTCTTTCTGCATGCTTCGGGAATGGAATAAAGGAAAAAATCAAATTGAAGAGGAAATTGAAAAAAATAAATAAATGAAAGGTAAAAAATAGTAAAAACAACTAAATTATCATTATCAGCAACTCTCGCGAAAGCGATCCTTAAGGACGAGTTATTTTTTATATTTTATCAAACTTTATTCGTGCTTTTAAAAACAGTGATATCATTTACAATATATGTCACTGTGGCCGTATTAAATAAGTAAGTGATTTTGGATTTACGTGCACGTGCTGATGTAATTAATTCACTCATTTAGTTACCGAGTGGCAATTTCTTGCTGTATGGACCAATGAGAACTTATCTATGATTTCAATTTGCTTATTTCCTCATGCAATTCACTTCCTACGACAGGAAGTCATTTAGACCAAATGGGTCGGGATTCAAAAAGGACCACCACAAAAACCAAGCTTCAGTTGTAATCAGAGTTTTTCCTCATTCTTTGGAGTTAAGACTGCATTTGCGGCGGAATTCTTGTCCTCGAATATGTAACCATTTGTTGGCCACTAAAGAGAAAACGAGGAAAAATATCGCTATTAGACAACCAAAACATATTTTGATCAGAATTATACACCCAGATTAACATAGAGTCTTTAAGAATCACCAGGAAGACCATGTTGTCCAAGAACTGAGTGTTACTGGATAGGAGTGGACTGAGAAAATTTGAGGGGTGAACGTGGGAGGAGGGGGTAGGGGTGGGGGGTGAGTTTTTTTTGGGTGAGCTGAAAGTGGTGAGTGGGTTTCACCCTCAGGTTTTGACCTCTTTGAATAAATCTCGCTGTGCACTTTGGGGAAGATTAGGGAACAGTTAAAAGGAAGTTCGGCTGGGATAATGATAATCATTTTCCCATACTTTCGGACAATTTTATGCGTTCACCTGTCACTTGTCTCTTTTTCAAACTATTTCTTTAGAACAGTTCTTTGAAACCGACCGTCATTTACAAGAAGCCCGAACTACTTGGAACCGCTGACGGACTTAAAACCACCCAATCTAGAATTAGGTACCTGGCACCAGTGCCCCTAAAGACTCACCCCATTTATTTCCACAGAGGACTGGACAAGCTGCATGCTCCGTTTCATAATCTCCCTCTCCTGATCGTTTAAGATTGTACCAAAACGCTGCGTCTCCCTATAAGCCAACAGGTACAAATTACTTTCAAAGAGATGAAAGATTTCTTTTAAGGAGAAAATTCGTTCGTGTTTAATTCCTCACCATTGTCGGGCTGATATGAGTCTTCGCTCGCGTAAAAACTGTGTAACCTCCCCTGCTGACGTCATTCAACTGCATTTCAAGAAAGTTGAAAAAAAAGGATGAAAATAAGGCCAGGAAGTTTAATATTCTTACGTTAGAAGTCATTGAAATCCTTCTTCTTCGTCTAGAAAAGATCAGTAGTGTAGCGTTCGAAATGTCGACGACTCGTTCAACAGTTGTTCATGCATATGAGATACGCAATTTAAGGTAATACTGAAAAATAAGGTGACGGAGAACATGAATTTTATTTTGAAATAAGAATAGATTCTTACATAAATGAGCACAGTAGCGACACGATTTCCATTCGATGACAAGTCCAAAGGCGAACCTGGATCCTGGAGAAAAAAATAGGAAGCAAGCAGATAAAGACTTATTTTCAGTGTTCATTTTGAGAATCTTCTTGTACCTTATCCCCTGAAGACCTTTGTAGTCTAGTGTCGAAATGTCTAGACTCTCTTCCACTTTAGGCTGTACGAGAAAAAACTTCTCTTTTTTATTTGTTATTAAATATTATGGTGATCAGTACTTACTCCAAAGTCATGATGAAATTCGTACTGTCCTGCCATTCCGTAATTTGCAATCTAAATGAATAAAACGAAGCATATCATTATCTACAATCGCGTAGAAGGTCGACATGTATAAGGAATAAGTCGGTCAAAGTGTCGTGTTCTTAACGACTAAAACTACACGAGGCAAGTTGCTTCATTCAACTTCTTTATTCAACTCTCTACTTACAGGATATACTTACAATAATATAGAAATCTCGCCAAGCTCTGCGTTATTGACGAACTTCCTTCAGCGTGTGTTTTATTCCATTTTGTTTCATAAAATCTGCGAATTCTCGCGAAGTAAACTGTGGACTATTGTCGCTCACTAAATGCATCGGTACACCGTATCGAGCAAACATATTTCTCAGTTTCTCGATCGTTGACTCACTGGTCACGCTAGGCATTATTT